CACTTTAATTGGACTTTTCACTTTATTTGGATTTAGTTTTTACATATGCATAGATATACGTACATATATATATACAGAAGAGCTATATGTGTATATATTTTATCTCTTTTTATTGTTATTTTTTATCTTTATTATATTGTATAGTTGGATGTGTGTATATATCATGTAAAACTGTAACTGGAGCGTGTAACAAAAGTAATTTCCCTCTGAGATTATTAAAGTATTTCTGATTCTGATTCTGATTAATGACGTTAAGGTCGGAGGAATGCGACCTGGCCGTTCAGACACAGGTTTCATTTTAAAAGATCTGGTTCATATCACATTCAGGACCACATAGTCAAGTGGCCTGGAACGCATTGGAAAAAATCGTATCTGTGTTGTTCAGACAGCCATAAAAAGATCAGTTAGAGGTTGCATATGGGCCCAAAAATCGGATTTGGGTCACTTCAGGCTACAGTGTGAACGTAGAACTATGTGTCATGATTCAGAACAGAAGGACCTAATGTTCAGGTGAGAAAGACAGTGGGATTACTCAAAAAGCTTTTATTAAAACACTGGGCTGTGAGAACAGCTGCTAGGATTTCTAAGGAAGGACATTTGGAGAGAAGAAAAACACAGAGAAAACCGAAGAACGAGGTAGGATCCAGTCGGTTGGTTGGCAGCAAGAGTCCGAAGCCAGGTCAGGAAAACCGATCAGAACAGGAAGAGGCAGGCTCAGACATCCAGGAGTCTGAAGCCAGGTCTGGCAAAACGTTCAGATGGGAAGAGGCAGGCCCAGCAGTTGAGAGGCAAAACAGGTCAGGATCAGGAAATCAGAAACACGAAAGAACTCTAAAAACACTCTCACCAATGGCTAGGGAGACCAAGAAAATCTGGACCTGATGACTGGATGCAAGCAACTTAAATAGAGGCAGGAGCAGGTGGATCAGATGAGCAGTAATGACAAACTGGGCAGAGTTATGCAGGTAAATTGAATGAGTTATCAAGCCAGTCATCAGTGCCAAGATCATAGCACTATTCCTGATTAAAGATACTTTCAATTCAACTTTGCACGAGTCCTTTGGGAAAGCACCCTGCAGTGTGCCATCCTTCATGCACTTCATCCAGCAGGGTTTCCTAAACCCAGCAAATATGAATAAAAAGAGGTTAGAAAAAAATTCTCTAA